AGTGCCAAGTGTATAAAAATCCATCACAAGGTGATTTGCCAAAGTGATGCAGGGAGTCTGTGATAGATGTGGGGATCAAATCCTCATCTCTGACACAAAGTACATTATTCAGGCCTCTTACTTGTTTGGAAAGCACAAGATTTAGCCTTGGCTTAGCTGTCTTGCTTTAGACCAAAAAAAAAAAAAACCAGAGCTAAAAGCAAATCTTGCAGATTCTTAGGACCCTTTGGCGTGTTTCCCCGGGTGAGCTCTGTGGCCAGCTTGGATGGGGCCTTGAGCAACCTGGTCTAGTGAAAGGTGTCCTCTGCCCATAGCAAGGAGGTTGGGACTAGATGATCTTTAAGGTCCCTTCCAGCCCAAACCATCCTATGGTTCTATGATTCTCTGTAAGAGGAAATGTCCTCAGGGCTGATATGACTATGATGAGGTAGAGACAGCCCCACATGGTATTACCCATCCTGGACAGTGCAAAGGGCTTTGAGCCTCAGTACAATTTTAGGTACTGAGGTCTTCCATGCACACTTCATAATTTTTGACAAATTCCTCTGGGGCTGCTAAGTGAGATGAAGGCTTTGAGAATGCCTGTGAGCAGGTTGGTGAAAGATCTTACCTCTTTTCTTTTAATATTATGTGCAGGAGTTCTCTATGGGCTGCAGGTGGATATTTGCTCCACTGTGGAGCTGCAGGGGCCTGTAATAGAGCTTCACACACTTCATTTAAGGGGAAGTTCTTTGGTGGAATTCCCTGGATTAACCTGCATTTATCTGTAAACTCGTTCACTTTTAGCTTGTCAAATCATTTGGTGGTTTATGTTCACCGATGGTAGCGATTGATGTAATCTTACAAATAGAACAGAAACAAGCACTGCAATCTCAAAAGAAAATGATTCAGATGCATGAGATTAAATTCCATTTTATTTTTTTAGTTTTGTTTTGTGCTTTTTTTGTTGTTTTTTGTTGGTTGGTTGGGGTTTTTTTTAGTTTTTGACAACTATCACAATTTTGTTTCCTATAGTCCTTGATACTGGGGAGCAGCTGGTTCAGGGCCTCAGTTTCCTGGTGCACTTTGACTAAAGAAAACATTTGCTTTCTTTTACAACAGAATTAACTACCAGATGTCAAAACTGAAGAGTAGAAGTATGAAAATGTGGTCTGCTACCATTCCCAATGGGCTTTTTTTCCAAAAAGCTTGTGTTTTCTAGATCAATCATGAGGTTTTGTGTGAATCCTAATGGAAGATCTTTTAATAGTGTGGGTTGCAATATCACTTCAAGAAGCAGTTCCCTAATTCAAAAGAAATAGAAACTTTTTATTTCTAGTTCTCAGTTCACTTCATTAAAAAAGGGAGAAAAAATGCAAAATAGAAACTATTTGAGTTTATATAACATGTAATCTCCCATCTACCATGTCTATTATGAATTTTTCATCCCATTATCTCACAATGACTGGCCAGTGTAGGAGTTCTGGATGCTGCAAAATTGTACTTCATTGTACAGTTCATTGTGCTTCACATTTCCTTTCATTTGTTGCCCAATTCATATGAATGCTGACTAAAGAGCAAAATTGAATCCCTAAATAGTTCTAGTATGGGCTGTGTTTTGTTCTGCAGGCTTTAATGAGAGGCAGGTGAGCACCACAGTTTACAGACCTCAGCCTGTGTGATTACAGTGCAGAAATATCCAGCATCGCACAGAGGGTGCTGAAAGGGGATGCTCCTCTCACAGATCAGGAATAGTTTGTTGCTGTTTACACTTGGAAAACAGCCATTTCAGCTAAGAACCATCATGTTTGGATGGGATGAAGAGGGAAGGAGCTCTAGGAACCTATGTGAAGCTGACTTTGTTTTGGAGGCAGTGGGCATGTTTGTGGTCTGTACTGCAGCAGGACACATAAGGCAGGGAGCAGATCTGAGCTGCCTCAAAGCATGAGAGAAGAAAAAAAAACAAACTTCATCAATAGGCAGGCGTTCAACTTCCAAATACAGGATGCTATCTCAGACCCTAACTCTGGCAAAGGTTTCAGACCGAATGTTTTTTGTTTTTATTTCCTAAATAATACAAGGTTGAGGGAACAGGTGGTAAATTTGGGTCCAATTTGTTGACATGTCTAGAAGGAGAAAGGAAACAAACACTAAACCCATCCCTCTGTTATAACTTTTCTGCACATCCCAAAAAACAGGAGCAATGTGGAACACTGAAATGTCTTGCCTTGACATTTTAGAAACAAACCTCTAAATTTCCTTTATGTTTGTTTTTAAAGTGCTGGTTCTTTGTAAATTGAGTACAATCTGACCTAAGAGATAAGCTAGAGGAACCAAACCATGCATTAGGATCAAAAGCTTTCACTTAATGCAAAATTATTTTTGCTTTCCCCTCTCCCACCTTTTTGTTTTCAGTTTCTCTGGAAAAATGGTCTTTTTTTCAGGTCAACCTGCAGAGCAACATCTGCTGGCCTCTCTTCCTCCTGCTGTTTCCTATTGAACCAGCTAAGCAAAAATGAAAAATATACCCGTCTGCAGCACAGAGACTTCCCTTGTGCATGCAAAGATTCCACATCCAGGTGCAGCAGGGAGCACAAGAGAAGCCCTTTCTGGCAGTGTCGGTGCACAGGTCTGGTGCAGATACCAGTATTTGCAATCTGGGAGACCTGGGCTCTTCCAGCTGGGCCTTCCCCCAGAAGGGCTGTAGCAACACCTGTCCCTGCCCTAGGAGCATTTCTCATGCCTGCTTTCTTTGTGGGGTCCCACGCAAGGGTGAGGTAGAACCTGTAGTTGGAAACTATCAGTGGAATTGATGTTATGACAATTACAGCAATGCCAAGGAAAGCCCACTTGAGTGGAGTGAGCTGCTTGATTGGGGGAAGGAGAAGTTTTTGGTGAGCCAAGGGTATGTTGATGGGAGGTTTGGGAACTTTTTTGGGACATTTTCCTTCTAGCTCAGGCGCACATCCCTGCCTGTGGCACAGATATTTGGGATCTGTCCTGATTTCAGCTGGGATAGAGTTAATTTTCCTCCTAGTTACAGTGCTGTGTTTTGGATTTAGTATGAGAATAATGTTGATAACATTGATGTTATAGTTGTTGCTGAGCAGTGTCAAGGACTTTTCAGTTTCTTATGTGCAAGAAGCTGGGAGGAACCATAGCTGAGACAGCTGGCCTAAACTGGCCAAAGGGATGTTCCATGACCTAGAATGTCAGGCTCCATATATGAACTGTGGAGAGTTGGCTGGGAGGGGCCAGGCTGCTCAGGACCAGGCTAGGCACTGGTCAGTGGTTGGTGAGCAATTGTATTGTCTGTTTTTCCTATTATTATCATTATCATCATCATTGTCATTGTTGTTAACTTTATTTAAATTATTAAACTGGTCTTATCTCAACCCACAGGTTTTGCCTTTTTTCAGTTCTCCTCCCCCTCCCACTGGGGAGGCTGGAGAGAGGGAGTGAGCAGCTGCTTGGTACTTACTCATGGGCTGGGGCTAAACCACAACAGGTTACCTACTGCCTACCCCACAAAAACGAAGCACCCAAGATTAGGTGAGCTAGGCTGAGCCAAGCATTGGGGGTAACTTAGAGAGCTCGGTCTGAGCACTGGGAAGCAGGCTGATGACATCTCTGGAGACGCCCCAGTCAACTCAAGGAACTGCAGGCTGAACTGGGTGACAGGCTCTGAACCACTGCTGGTTGTTAAAGACACCAGACCTGTTCACCAGAGTGAGCTCTCTCAGCCATACCTGGGTGACCCAAAAAACTGCCTCCCCGTGCTCCTGGTCAGCACCCCAAGAGCAGAGCAATGGCTGTGATGCCCCAGCCAGCTGTCAGCTCCTGCCGAGGAACAGGAGTTGGCCAGACTGCCACGGGATGCTCTGCTGCTTTCCTCCTGCCCAGCACGGCCCCCGATCCGCCCCGATCCTCCCCTCCAGGGCGGGAGCTCTGCCCGCGTTTTTCAGAAAGGATGATTACATCTGCAAAGCACTCGGGAGCGCTTTGGGATGAAGAGTGTTATGTAAGTGTAAGATAATGTTATTTATAGATCCAGGTTTTATCCAAAATGGAATTAAACTTGTGTTCCTGAAACCTCTGCTATCAAAGACAAATTGGAATTTGTCCACTAGCTTCCACTACTTTGCATTCAAATTTTTTTTTCTTAGCTTAGCCCAAAGTTTAAGAATGAGTTTTATTTACAAATCACACCTCTCAAAAAGTGAAGGGATCTCTTTCCCATCAGCTGTGAGGTGACTGTGGAAGCCTGGGACTGTAGATGTGCTTTGCAACCACTTCAGCTGTGGCACCGAAGTGTCATAAATGAGGAAAGGAAAGCAGAGTTTGAGCTGGATTAAACAAGAAAACCACAAACAAATGTCCTAGGCACGATATTTTGCCTGCATTTAACACTGTCCATGTCAATCCATGAGCTGCAGGGAGGGTATCCAGCTTACATCACTGTTGGAGGTGGCACTTGTTCAGTGGACTAATGTTTGTGCTCCCTCAGAACTACAGACCCCGTGACCTTTTAAAGTCTTGTATTATTAACTTAGAGAGCTTTATTTGCTCTTTTGAAATATTAGATTCAAATCTCTCATATCTGTACTTTTTACAAGCCATGGAAACCCATGTTGCTGGGATGCCTGATGAAATCCAGCCTAACAGGTGTTAGGAATATGGTTTTATGAGGTACAGCACCTTGCATAGGTTAGTTTGTGCAGTTCATCTGCTGCCCCTCAGTTGTCATAGTATCTAGCATGAAATTCCACACATGCCTTTTATTTAGGAAAGAACACAAAAGTATGTTATCTTATTCCTCTGGAATTTTCCACAGTTATTTAGCATGTTAGTTTAAGCATAATTGGTTAGTGGGCTCTTGAAATTTATAACTTAGCAGTACTTATTTACATCAGGCTAAAAGTAGTTCATTTCTGTTGAGGTAAATGTGAAGCATTAGATTGCAAACGTACCTAATCCATCTCTCCTCCCCCATGACTAGAAATCCTGTGGTTAAAATAACACAGCCTCTATTCAGAGCACAAACTTAGAGCTGCTAGCAGGAGCAGGCTTGGGATTTAAACAACTCTCAGCAGATGAGTCTGTTCAAGGGTCTTTTTCGGGTTTGTTTTTCATCCTACTTCTGATCCATGAAAGGAAACCAGGCTCTTTCCTCTGGGCAAGCAAGGTAAAGATTTTCTGCATTCTGTATATGGTTGCATGTGCTTGTAAAGGAGCTTATACATGTGAGTGCAAAAATGCTGTTGCAAATGCAATTGTAAAAATGTTGCTGTTATAAAGCAAGAAGTGTTTGGCAAATGCCTTCACAACCTTTAACTGTTCTTTTGGTCTGGCTATTTTCACATAACGGTGAAGTGATGAAATGATAAATCTTGCACAGAGAAGCAAAGAGCAGTGATTCTTCCTCACACATTAGAGAGGCTGAGCATGTAGGCAACATAGGAAATAGCAAATCCAGGTGCTATTGCAATCAAGCCAGACTAAAGCAAAACTGGCATTTTGCTAACTGCCAGGTATAGTCCCTCCTGGGTTTGTCCAGCTGCTCTAATCCCTTTTGGGAGGCTGAGGCTGTGCAGGAGGATGGCACTGAGTCTGTTTACAGAGTGTATGCTAATGCTGCTCCAGTGTGACTCGTACAGTAACAGCAGAACCGTGCTTTCAGAAATGTTTGGATGCAGTGTGCCAGATAATTAACTGCCTTTATTTGCTCTTATTGCTTTCCAAGTCATAGGGGATGTAGAAAAGCATCATCTTTTCCTTGAATCCTTATTTTATTTGAAATCCAGGAAACAAGCGTGATGTCTGTGCTAATGCCCGTGGAACTGTACTCCCAGTGCCAGAGTCTGTTAACTCTCCCAGCCCTGTGCTGTGATTCACAGGGGATCCCAAGTACCAAATCAGTCCTCCTGCACCACGGTGTTCAAACAGAGCAGGTCGAGCTGCTGGGTAACATGGAAACACTGTTACTCAGATTTTTGCTTGATTTAAAAAAATGCTGCCCCTCTGTGCTCCGAGGCATGGGGCAGTGTGGGTGCGGTGGCAGAACTGAAGCACCGAACAAACGCTGCTCCAGGTGCTACCTTTCCAGGGCTGGAGAAAGCCTTGTTTCCCAACCAGAGATGCTCACTTTCCTCTTTCCCTACTTTCCTCTCCCTTTACCCTTCCCTGAGTGAGACAGGATGGTTTCACACTGTCCTGTCTGCAGCCACTGTCCTCCCACCTAGTCCCTGCTGTCCCACAGCCATGTCACCCTGACAGCAGGCACTCCACTCCTCTGCTCAGCCAGAGAAAAGAGGAGGACTCTGCTTAGCACACCGGGTCCCTCATAGCACGGAGCTGCCACACTGAGGGGAAGCCTTTCGGCTGGCAAAGGTGCCCTCGTCCCTTGAGCCAACAGTGCTGCTTTGTCCTGAAGGGAGAAATGCAGCTTTATCACTTGGGTGCCCGGCACAGAGAGTGACAAGCAGGGCTGTAAGGAATACAAACACTCTGCTTTTCCCAATACTCGTGTAAGAGCACGCCGTGGCAGAGAGGCAGCTCAGAGGAGAGAGAATCTGTGCAGAACAAAGAAATGCGGTCAGGCAGGAACTATAAAATTCCAACATAGAAAGTGGAGCTGATGTCATTTTAACGTCCTGAGCAGTGCCAAGAATTCTAAGCTCCGTATCAAGATTCAGTGCAAAACCCCCACAAACTCACAACTTGTTCTTGTGGAAAAATTAACTTTTATGGAAAATATGCATGGGAACATGCCAGAGGAGTGTGTTGCTTTATTTCTTTTATTAATTTTGAATACATTAGTTCAGAGAGCAATCTCATTTTAGCATCAGCTGCCTCTATCCAAGAAGCTGAAGCTGACATATCCTGCTCGGAAATACTGGAGGCGAGGGAACTGTGGTTTTTCGAAGGATCAGTTGTTAGTTGGGAAGAGCTGTTCGAGTAGGAAGGGGTGTGGGAAGGCTCAGTGGGATGACTGAGTTAACGCTTTTTTACTGGTGACAAATCTGAATCGTAATCAGATGCACCTGAATGGAACAGCATCATCAGCTATTATAACTCCGAATGCGTCAGCGGTGGGATCGCATGCGGCTCCTGTGATAAAGGTTACTCATGTCTGTCCTGCTATAGGACTGTCTTTGCTTATAACTTTGTCAGACTTGAACAGTTTAGACTGAGTTCTTCCAACTTGATTGTCTGCCTTGGGCTAAGTTCTTTTCTGGAAAATTTCAGCCAAAACTGTCCAGCCAGTTTTGTCCCTTCCAAGAATGAGCACAGGGAAAAAGGAATTGTTGTCCAACTTGAAAAAAAAGAAAGGAAGAAATGGGAGGGGGGAACCTGGTGATCCTTTCCTTGGATAGTTCTTATCCCTCTGCACTTTGGAAGTAAGATCTGAAATTTGGCAGCTCTGTATTAGGAATGTGATTTTTTTTTTTTTTACTTTGTAAATCTCCTCCAATTTGGCTTAGTGATAGCCTTTGAAGGAAAAAATAGCAACTTATTAGGGACGTGCTAGGGCTGAGTAGTCAAAATCCACTGAGATTCCTTCCTGCATGAGCGAGCTCAGCCCAGCATCCCAGCAGCTCCCAGTGCCGACCCTAGTGCTCCTGTGCAAGCAGCCAGTGCTACCAAGTTTCTACTGATCCTGCTGCTTCCCCGCAGATCTGCAGGGACCAGGCTACCTGTGTTCCCTCTCTGCAGTCCAAGAACTATCCCCAGCTCCAGAAGCAGAATGAAGATGGGCTGTCCATGTAATGCTGCTCAGGGCAGAGGTGTTGGTCAATGCAAAGGCAGGCAGGGAACAATACTCTCTGATTCTTTCCTGGCACAGCCAGGAGGCAGACAGGGACCCTGGGGACACTGGACTAAGCAAACCTCTGGTACTAGGATGCTAAAGCTGAAGGATTGCATACGACTGGGATGGGGTCACATGGGACTGGGATGGTACCTCACATGGTACAAGTGAGGAGTCAGGGGGCTTGGGAGCAGTGTAGGAAGGTGTATTTTCAAGGTGTGAGCCCTAGGGAGAGTCTGGACATGCCAGAGCCTGACATGAAACCTGAGATGCTCTATCCATGGTCTGTTTTCGGGACTGTGACTGCTGCCTCTCAGAATTGTCTTCAGTCCCACTCTCCCTGCAAGGTCTTCTGTGCCAGGTCTTGCTGAGGCTTTCCCCAGCCTGCTGTCAGTAGCTGCAGGGTGTGCCCCCCTGTCTGCACATGCCATAAGACCCTGCTACCTGATGTCCACTTCCATGATGGGAGCTGATGGAAGCTCTGCCTCAAGCAAGTCCAGTGTGCCTGATGCTGAACACTTTGGCACAGCCCCAGCCCCAGCTGTGGCTGTTGGTCACCCCTTGGTCTCAGCTCACGGCCTTGAAGCGCTGCCCTGTGGGACCCATGAAGCCTGAAAGGGTGGATGTGGGCATGGGTCTTGCTGCAGCACCGTGGTGGGATGAGCGACCAAGGCTCTGATAAAATGATGCCTGGTGCAACCAAGCTGTTTGCTTACATGCCTGTCTCTGTTTCCATTCTGTTCAAGTGGCTAAAGAACCACCACACACTTGCTGGAGGTACCAGAGCATCCAGATACTACAGGTAGGTGTGTCATTGTAAGTCCCAGTGTTGGGAAAATCAGTAATTCTTACTAAGAGGAGGACTTGGGAAGAAAATAAAGCCTAGGACCGCACTGAACTCTAAGGAAAAAGAAAAATAATTCTATATAACATTGCCAGTGAAGACAGTCCATGCTGTACCATGGGATAAAGTTAAGGCCTCTGGCAAAACACTGTGTGATCATGTAATAAAGGTATCATAACAGATAGCACAAAGGAGGCCTAATTCTGGCATTTCTTCCCTCATGGATTTTTTCAGTCCTAACTGTACTCTTATAGCCTATTTTTATATGCAATGCATATGCAACATTTGGGGACAGATGGTGAAATCTCAGTGTTCATTGTGCCTCTTGACGTGATTTCCACATCGGAAGGTAGGGATCTGCAATCTGCTTGTTTCCGCTCCTGCTGAAGTGTCAGGGAAAGGTGATTTCCTTCACTTCTTGTATGACTGTAGACTGTGGAGCATCCTGGACAGCCTCTCCTTCCACAGAGACAGACAGTGAAGTTTCAGTATCCTGGAGCCCCATGCACACACCAAGACTCAGCTCTGTAAAACTGTGTAAAAACAAAGATCAGAAGAACAGGAGCTGACAATGTGAGAAGACCAGAGCTGCCTACAGACAGCTACTGGGAGAGGAAGGAGTTCTAGGAAGCTGTGAGACAGTGCTGGCCAGCATGTCAGGCAGTGCTTGCTTCACACCAGCAGCCTCTCCTTTGTCAAGGATATCACAAACAGGAGTTTTAAGCAGGGATTTGCAGGAGAACTGAAACAGAAAATGAAAAGGAGTGGTGGATACTTATGGGCTTCTGCTCCAAGTGCCATGGAAGAAAATGTATATCCGTAACCTTTGATACTGGAGGAATGCGGATGGGTGGAGTGGAGGCTGACAAAGGACCAGAGATGTTTATGGGGGATGTCATTGTGGAAGCTGTCACAGAAGTAATAAATGCAGGAGGATGTTGCTGTTACAACTTTGATGAGATGATTACAAGTGGGGAACAACATCATGAATGAAGCAGACAGGTCTGTTCATAAAATTTCTCACACAGATCCAAAAGAGCTACATCCTCCTCATCTGCACCCTGGATGGTCCTACTTCATACAGGGGATCTGCCATGTCTTCAGATGCAACCATGAAATACATGGCACCTGGCCTGCATGACCTTTACAGAATCCTTCAAGTTCAGGGACACTTTGGAAAATGTGATTTTTTTGGTGCTCTGTTGTCTTTCATCTCAAATGTAGAAGGGGATTGAATATGCAGTCATATCAGGGAAAAAAAGCTCATTTCTGATAAGGCAAAGGCCTTACCTTTTTCACAAAAATGTGATGGGTCATGCATGCCCAGCCATACCCACCTTTTTCCCCCTTCTCCTTGGGCACACAGTCCTGCTGCTGCATGTTGGGTTGCAGCAACCTGCAGCTAAACCTGCACTTCCATCCCCAGCCATCTCAACAGGCAAAATGCAGAATGGCTTTCTTACACAGCACATCCAGTGCTGGGACTGCCAGGGTTTGCATCCCTGTTGCACCTCGGCACTAGGCGGAAATG